CACTCACTCACTGTGTGTCTTGCACTGTTAGTGACATATATCTTGGCCACAAACGTTTGGTGCTGCTGTATTTTATTTTTTTTTATTTTTATTTTTTGGATGGAGTCTCACTCAGTTGCCCAGAATGCAGTGCAGTGGCTCAATTTCAGCTCACTGCAGCCTCTGCCTCCCAGGTTCAAGCAATTCTCCCACCTCAGCCTCCCGAATAGCTGGGACTACAGGCACACACCACCACGCCTGGCTAATTTTTGTATTTTTGGTAGAGATGGGGTTTCTCCATGTTGCCTAGGCTGGTCTCAAACTCCTGACCTCAAGTGATCCGCCTGCCTTGGTGGCCTCCCAAAGTGCTGGGATTATAGGCATGAGCCACCGTGGCCAACCTGTGTACTTAATTTTTTTAGATGAGAAAATAGGCTCAGAAAAGCAGACACCTGGCCTGAGGTCAGTCACACTAAGGGATGGTGCTGGGACTCAAGAATAGGAAATTTAACCAGTGCAGGCCACACCCCTGACCACCACACTGCTGGTGGCCGCAGCCTCCTGCCCTCTTCTCCAGGAAACTCTCCCTGCCCCTGCTGTGGCCGGCGAGGGATATTTCTACCACTCTCCATCCTCTCTTCACTCAGAAACATCCAAGGATGTTAAATGCAAGACGTGGGGGCCTTGGGGCTGTTTTATCCTGAGAAGACCTATGGCCTTCCTACTGCCTCTCCTGTGCCCCCCGAAGGCCCCCGGGGCTCCTCCTGCTTCCTCAGGGCAGGTCTTGAGCCACCTAGCGTCTACCCCACCCTCCTGTCCCAGGCTCAGAACACTCCGGCCCCTTTCCGCCCATGCTACAGACACCGAGGGAAGGATGAAGCATCTTTTCTGTGTACGCCTCGCCCTGCGGGAAAAGCTCTCCTTCCAGCTGGCGTTCAGAAAGACCCACACAGGCGCCCCACAAGGCTGCGACCGCCACCCGAGGAGGAGGAGCTTGTCCCCAAGTGCCAGAAGGAGCCAGCCCTGGTCTCGGGGGCAAGCCAGCAGGTCCGGCATGGCGGAGACCGAGCCACAGCCGGGTCACAGTCCGTCCCAGCAAGCAAGGCTGGCAGCCCAGCGGGTCCTTCCGCAGGGAGGAGGCGCATGGAAAAGAGGAGGAATTAGGCCCTAGGCGTGAGGAGGCAGGCGTGGCAGGAAGACAGGTGAAGCGCTGGGTTAGGACATAGGAAAAATCTGTCGCAGGAGCCATCCATCCAGCTCAGCACTGGCCTCGCTCC